TATAAATAAAAAATTTTGCCGGGGGACTGGGTTACCGGTTCACAAGATTCTATTAACAAATTATTACAAATGTGATATAAGTCTATTGCGATAATTCATTAAGCTTTGACGTCATTGCGGGAAAAAATTTATTTGAAATCGTTTTGTCCTGCATTTAAAAAGAGTCAAGTTATTGCTGGAGCGCAGCTGGCGGCCGTGTGCGTCTTGTCATTTCTGTGGAATTAATGATGACAACTGTGAGTTTTTAATTTTCTTGAACTGTTCGAGGCAAAGACACTGCGTCGCGAATGACAGATACAGAATCCAGCACCCATGCAGCACCTTTTTTCCCTTATTTTCAGTCATTTTTTTTCAAATTCCTATAACTCGAATCTTTTTCAATTTTCCTTGAAGGTTCGAGTTATCGGGAGTCGACTGTATAGCGAAATGAAGAAAATGTAAGCTGTTGATTTTAGGGTAAAGCGTCTTAACCTGGTAAATAATCCACTATTCGCAAAACTTATGACTAGTTTGATAACTCAAGACTTTAAAAGATCTAGTTTCAACAATATTTTACTAAATAAACAATGAAGATTGCATATCATTTCATTTCATCCATTAACCAGTCCAAAAGGAAGTTGATAGAACAAAACCACACCTGCCGCATCAAATATTAACGATGCAATTTTTTTCCAAGTGCCAAATATTCGTCGCTTTGGGCAGAGTTCCCCTCTATTAACTCTCGACGGCGAAAACCATGCTCTAACGCCCTTTAATAACTAAAATAGACCGGGTGTTCCATTTAAAAGCTGACACGAAGTTTTACATATATTCATGCGGGTGTTGAAGTTTTCTTAATGTTCCTATTAAAATGGTAACAGAAGGACAAACTAGCCTTCCCCAAGAGCTGCAGCGACGCGCACTTGGTTTGGTAGTATTGGAGAGTGCTCTTATGATGCTCATTAACGTTCTGGCCTTCATTGGTAACGTGCTCGTCTGCTGGGCAGTGTATCACAACAAAAGACTTCGCGTCATACCGAACATCTATGTCGTTACCCTGGCCATATCCGATGCTCTCATGGCAGCCTTTTGTATGCCCCTGTCTGTGGTTCTTCTCATAACAGGACAGTGGCCATTCAGCAGTGCTGTTTGTCATTTCCAAGGATTTTTTTGTTTCTTCTGTGCGCTATACTCTTTGCTGCTCATGACTGCAACGGCTGTGAACAGATATTTCCGCGTGGTGAAACCCAATCTTTATCGCCAGTGTTTTAAAGTAAAATCCACTTGCATTTCTGTGATTATCATAACACTTTTCGCTGCTTTTGGTGCAGGGCTTTCATGGATGGCTCAATGGGCCACATTTAGCGTGCAATACGGTAAAGTTATCTGTTTTATGGACTTTGAGACGCCGCACGTAGACATGGCTTACATGGCCTATTTGGATGTATTTTATATCTCTGTTCCTATTGGAATAATCACTGTTGCATATTATAAGATTTTTACAACCATTCAACAACACAACCAAGAGATGAATATCACTAGGAAAGAGGCGAATTTTCGATTGAATGTGGAAGAAGTGAAAATAACAAAAGCACTATTTGCAGCTGTACTGGGGTTTATCCTCTGTTGGGGACCTATAGCTATTATTGACCTGGCTGGTTCCTTCTCAGCCCATAAGCTCGTTATACCACGCGAGGTTTTCACGTTCTACATATATCTTGGCTTTGGAAGTTGCACTATTAATCCCGTTATATACGGCGTCATGAATCGAGCGTTCAGAGCAGAATTCTTGCGCGTTTTCACTTTCTGTAGAAGAAAGAATGAAATAGATCCACACGGCAGAGCCTTAAATATTCGTAACTAGTCTGCTTTGCTACATTTGTGTTGCAAAATGACATGTAGAAGAAACATCGAGAAATTGAATGTCAAAAACATCTTTACGAAATAGGAAGCAGTGTTAACAGTGCGATCGAATTCCGTTTAAGTAAACAAAATTCATATTTACATAAAGCATAAAGAGGGTTAATAAACCCCGTGCGTTTATTCAAATTGCTTTTTACGCTATTTCACAAGTCCATTTTCGTGAAAAACAAATTTCTAGTTACCACTTTTTCCAAAAGGCTTTATTCAGTCTTAATTTGATAGATTTAAATTGTAGGCGTATAAACGAATCAGTTTGCTGAGTAAATATTTGTTATAAATCAAGAAAAAACTGATTTGGAAAGATAAAAGCATAACTATTTTAAGAGACACAAAGATGCAAAGGACGGCTTCTGGCATATCATCCAAACATAACTTGAGTTAGCCTGAGGATCGACTTCATTCTAAATCGCCCTTAGGAGAAACGAATCTCTTCCTCTCCATGATACTTTTCCTTACAGTATATTGAAAAAATAGCAACAGTTTTTTCTGTAAGGTAGACTTAGATAACATCGAAACCAGTCGCTAGACATTTTAATTTACCTAATCATTCTAAGCAACATTTGGCAATCTGCGGTCTTTCCTTACACTTAGGTAGCACGGAAAGCCGTATAAATCTTGAACAAAAGCTCATCTTTCAAACCGGCAGTCTAAATCCCACAGGGATCAACGAACGCTTTTCATTCCACTAATTTATTCTTGTTTTTCTCGTTTCCATGTTCCCACCAATAACGTAGCTCCATTCTCTGCCTTTAAAAGCA